CCCTGGGATTCTCCAGGCAAGAACACTGGGAGAGTTTAAATGAAAAGTCCTTGGAAAGGGACAGATATTCTCCTTTCTGGACCCTTGTTTTCACATTCAGATGCACATCCAGTTTTGTTCCCCCACCCTCCCCCTCTTCTGTTTACCTTGCATTTGTCCTTGTCCAAGCCATAATCATCACTCACCTTCAATACTCTTATTAGCCTCCTACTTGATCTTCCTGCCTGACCTCTTTAAGGTCAATTCTCTATGCTCTATGCTCTGGTTTTTCTAAAACTCACTCAAATCTGATGTCACTCTCCTGTTAAGATCCTTCGCTGACTCCCCACTGTCTTTTGAGTCTAAAGTGTGGCAATCATGACCCTTCAAGATTCTGCCTGCTTCTCCAACCCTCTTTTTCAGTACTCCACCATCCAACCTCACACACTCTAGCCATATGGAAATCCTCTCCATGCAGTTTCCAGAACTCAACAGACCCTCCTCCAGCCTTTGCTCCTGCCATTTTTTCTCTCTGGAATATTCAGACCATGCCCATTCTCACTGCCTTTTGCTTTGCCCTTCATGTCTAAATTAATTCCTCCATGAAGCCTTCCTTGACCCCCCTAAGACTGAGTTTGGCTCTTCTGTTTTAGCCACCAGGCTTCAACCCATGGTAACTTTTAATACCTTGAATGGTTTAGTAACATGTATGTGAATGAAGCCTCTGTATCTGGGCAGGCACTGGGTAGTAACTCAAAGACAAGACCATGGGATAGTAGGAAAAAACACAGAATTTAAAGTTAGTGCTTTGTGAAAGTCATTCATCCCTCTGAGGCTCAATTCTATCACAGTAAAATAGGGATAATAACAGGGAGGTTAGAATAAAAGAAAATTAAGTGTGTGAAGCACTTGGTATGTATGAAGCTCTCAATAAATTTACTAGTGCCTAAGAGTAAGACATTAGTAAATTGAGCCTCAGAGAGATTAATGACTTTCACAAAGCACTAACTTTAAATTCTGTGTTTTTTCCCTGCTTCCCCATGGTCTTGTTCTGGTGGCTCAGACAGTAAAGAATCTGCCTGCAATGCAGGAGATCTGGGTACAGCCCATGGGTTGGGAAGATCCCCTGCAGAAGGGAATGGCAACCCACTCCAGTATTTTTGCCTAGAGAATCTCTTGGACAGAAGAGCCTGGGAGGCAATAGTCTGTGGGATCACAAAGAGTCAGATATGACCAAACAACTAACACTTTCACTTTACTCTTAGGCAGTGTTTAATAAAGAGATACTTAATCATTGAATGACCAAATGAAGATCACGGTGTGTGGGTGGTGGGGGGGAGGGGAGGGTAGGCTACATGGCCAGCCAAACTTCAAGAGGCAATGGCATCTGGGCCTGGGGAAGACAAGATTGTCTGGAAAAGACTGGAGAAACAAGATTGGCCCCATGCGGATGATTTTTTTCTTAATATTTATTTATTTATTTGGCTGCCTCAGGTCTTTGTTGTGTCATCTTTCTTAGTTGCTTCACAGCATGGGAATCTTAGTTCCCCACCAGGAATCCAATCCATGTTCCCTGCATTGCAAGGCAGATTGTTAACCACTGGACCGCAAGAGAAGTCCCCATGCTGATAATTATTGAAGCTGGAGTGTTGATGCATGGGTCCCTAAAGGATCACCATCCCCTATTCTCTACTTTTATGTCCATATGAAACTGTCCATAATAATTAAGAAAGAGGTAATGTGGTGGAGGAAGCCCTGAATCGGGCATCAAGAAAAGTTAAAATAGAAATTTCCCTGGTGGCCCAGTGGCTGAGACTCCATGCTCCCAATGCAGGGGGCCAGGGTTCAATCCTTGGTCAGGGAACTAGATCCCTCTTGCATGTGGCAAGAAAGAGTTGCAGTGCCACAGCAAAGATCCCATGTGCCACAGCTAAGACCCAGTGCAGCCAAATAAATATTGGGATGGAAAAAAAGTTAAAAGTATTAAAAATAAGACACATTTTGAATCCCTGGGGGATGGATATTTTGCACAGACACAACCACCCTCAGATCCTCCCACCCATCTTGGGAAGCTGGATTTCTTTTCTTCATCCTGGGTCTAGAGCCAACTCTTCTGACTGCAAGCTCACTGCTCTTTTCCCTGCCCTGTGGGGGTCTCCATTCAAGAAACTCCATGACCAATGAGGGCAGAGCAGATAGACCAACAGCCGGTATGAAGCAGAAGCCCACCTACCCCAGCCCAGTCCCAGGGCAGCTGCCGCCTCCACCCCACAGTTAATGAGATAATGTTCCCCTAGGGAAAGAGGCACTTAGTGCTGACAATGAGGCTAATTAGCAGAATGCCAATTAGTACTTGGGGACCGCTATACAAGGGAGGGGGAATTGCTTGTGTGGAAATGGCTTTTTCAGAGGAACAGAGGGTTGCACACAAAGGAGAGGATAGGAGCAAAGCCACAGCATCCCCTCTTTCCACGTCATCATCCACAAGGACCTCTCCTCCAGGAAGACCTCCTAAAGTACTCGCTGTTTTCCCTCTGTTTCTTCCTGCTCAATTCTGAGATTGAGGGGTGAGGCCAGAGGAATGAAGGGCAAGAGCCAGGACTGTGCTAAACTTTTTTCCAGTTGCAAAATATTTCAGATATACAAAAATATCTGGAAAAATTACGCATAAAATTTATATCCCACAACCCAACTTGAGAAATAAAAAAGTCGGGGCTTCCCTGGTGGTCCAGTGGCTAAGATTCCATGATACCAAGGCAGTGGGCCTGGGTTGGATCCCTGGTCAGGGAAACTAGATCCCACATGCCACAAGTAAGAATTTGCATCCTGCAACTAAAGATCCCACATGCTGCAACAAAGACCGAAGATCCTTCAGGCTGCAATTAAGACCAGCAGCCAAATAAACAAATATTAAAATAATAATAGTAAAAGTCACCAGTTCAAAGAGCTCTCACTGTATACCCATTATCTTAGCCTTTTCTCTCTACCTGCCTTGGGAGGCAACCCTCCTCAATCCAGTGTGTTCTATACTGTCTTGTAGCTACGTATGGATGTGACAGTTGGCCCATAAAGAAGGTCGAGCACCAAAGAAGTGATGGCTTTTGAGCTGTGGTGTTGGAGAAGACTCTTGAGAGTCCCTTGGACTGTAAAGAGATCAAACCAGTCAATCCTAAAGTCCTTCATTTGAAGGACTAATGCTGAAACTGAAGCTCCAATACTTTGGCCACCTGATGCAAAGAGCTGACTCATTAGAAAAGACCCCAATGCTGGAAAAGTTTGAAGGCAGGAGAAGGGGATAACAGGACAAGATGGTTGGATGGCGTCACCAGCTCAATGGACGTGAGTTTGAGCAAGCTTCAGGAGATGATGAAGAACAGGGAAGCCTGGCATGCTGCAGTTCATGGGGTCACAAAGAGTGGAACTCGACTGAACAACACACTCTCTTGTACACAACATTGTGTACTTTCTCTCTTCCCTCTGCAGGAGTGTGAACCGATAGAACTCTATGCAATGACAAAAATGGTCTCCATCCAGTATGCTAGCCACTAGCTGTGAGTGGCTCCCGGTCACTTGGTGGCTGATGCAAGGAACTAAATCTTTACCTAGTTCTAATTGCTATAAATTTAAGTGTAAATAGCCAAATGTGGCTGGTGGCTACTGTACTGGACAGTGAAGCTGTGTCCTATGAGGGTGGGGACTTTGTGGTACTCACTGCTGTGGGTCTAGATGATGTCTGGCAAAGAGCAGGTGCTCAATAAATATTTAAGTCAACGACTGAATCTTTACAGCAAGACAGTTATGTAAGTATTATTCCCATTTCCCCAGCTTCCCTTATGGCTCAGCTGGTAAAGAATCCGCCTGCAATGCGGGAGACCTGGGTTCGATCCCTGGGTTGGAAGATCCCCTGGAGAAGGGAATGGCTACCCACTCCAGTATTCTGGCCTAGAGAATTCCATGATCTGTATAGTCCATGGGGTTGCAGAATCGGACACTACTGAGCGAGTTTCACTTTCACTTTCATTCCCATTTCCCAGTTGGGACCACCGAGGCCCAGAGAAGTGATGTGACTTGACAAGGCCACTGAGGTAAAAAGTGACAAGCCCGAGACTCGGGCCCAGTTCTTCCTGACCTCAAGCCTGTACCCTTACCCTATACCATTATACCCCTATACCCTTACCGACTCCCAGGGGCTTCCCTAAGCCTCCCCTGGGCAGTCACTTGAGGAACAAGGTGTGGCCCCTCTGGGCCCTTCTCTGGGCCCTCACCTGCAGCTGCACCCGGGCTCCATTTTCCTCCAAGAGTCCCGGTTTGGGTCCACGCTTCCTCCCACCCAGGCAGCCCTGTGTGAACACCTGGTCTTCCCAGCACCGAGTGATGGGGCTCCAAAAGCCACAGACAAGTGGAGCAGAGCTGAGATGAAGCCAAAGAAAGAAAGGAGTGGGGTGGGGAGAGGGGGTGAAGGGCCTGTGTGGGCCTGGGGGGCCGCTGAGACACACACTCAGTTCGGCCAAGGAAGAGACAAGGACCTTTTCTAGGCTTTTATTTATGAAATGCTTATTGAACGGATACAAAGTTAGTGTCTTTGTCAGCAGCTGGTGGAGGGGGTTCATGTGCATCCCCCCTCCCACCCGTCCCCACCATGGGCCCACCATGGGCGCTGAAGCCAGCAGTGACTCCATCCTTCCCTCCACCTTGGCAGTAATGAGCTGGGAGAGTAGGAGGCTGGCCCCAGGCATCCTGGCAGGAATCTTGCTTCTTCTTTGTAGTAGTGGTTTGAACTGGGCAGCAAGGAGGAGGAAGCTCTCTGGGACCCTCTTCCATTTCCCCAACCCAGGGTTGGGAGTGTCCTCTTTGATTATTTCCCAAAAAAGGTCCTTTGTGACTTCTCTAGTCCCCTCCAGGGATGCCTGCCTCCCCCAGGTCTCAAAGGCATTGCCCCGGTCCTGAGGGTTAGGGGGCAGAGAACCAGAGGCGGTGTAGCCCAGAGGCTGGTGACCTCTTCCAGGCCAGAGGAGCTGCAGTTATGTCCACACTTCTAGGGGCATCACACCCTCCTTGCTACCCAGGGAGGGTAGCAAATACTCATCCTCCAGAAACTTGAGGGGGAAGTGGACAAGGTGGCCCTGGACCTGGGTGAGTTCAGACCGGGCCAAGGGAGGGCTGACTGTGGCCAGGGGCTCCACGACCACGTACTCCCGAAGTGCCCGCAGGGAGCGTGTGGCATTGGATGGCAGGCATCGGAAGATCTGTGGGTGGGGGATGCATGGAAGCCAATAAGGCTTGAGGAGACTCTGCCAAGAGTCCAAGCCCAACCGGGCTACATGCCCCCACTCCCCACACCATATCCCCCTACACTGACCCTGAACCCCATGATGCCCCCAGACCCTCATCTCCTTATGAGAATGGCTGTGTGAAGTGGCTCCTCTCCATCCTGCCCTGGACAAAATAATCCCTGAACTTTCCTGGGCCAGCACTCTCCCAACCCCCACACACCTGCTCATAGATATTGGCGTTGCTCTCAGCTGTGCCTTGCCACAACTGGAAGAAGGCATCACAGACAGGGTCTCGGAGATCCAGATCCGGCCAAGCAGCAGCCCCTAGAATCACGCTGCGGGAGAAAGGGGTCCCAGTGGGGTTAGATTAAGATCCTTCAAGGGCCTGAGTACCAGAAAAGTTATGGTGGGCCTATCCAGGTAATTGAAAATAGATGCATGGTTAAACAGTAAAATTAGGGCTTCCCTGGTGCCTCAGGCAGTACAAATTCTGCCTGCAATGTGGGAGACCCAGGTTCAACCCCTAGGGTGGGAAGATCCCCTGAAGAAGGGAATAGCTACCCACTCCAGTATTCTTGCCTGGAGAATTCCATGGACAAAGGAGCCTGGTGGGCTTACAGTCCATGGAACTGCAAAAAGCTGGACAGAAGTCAGCAACTAACACTTCCGCTAAACAATCAAATCAGTGTAAACAAGTCCAACAGAGCTTTAATTTGTCTCTACTTTGGTGATGACTTTAATGCTTTAAAAAAAATACCAAATTATTTTTTAAATACTTGTTTCCCTCTCTCTCTCTTTTTTTTTTTGGTATTCCCGGGGACAGGTACCCTAAACTGGATTAGTCTGTCTCTAAGTACTGAAGCAACTAAGCACGCAAGCAAGTACTAAGCAAGTACTAGTAAGGGGCTTCCCAGGTGGCGCTAGTGGTAAAGAACCTCCTGTCAATGCAGGAGACTTGGGAGAAGCAGGTTTGATCCCTGGTTCAGGAAGCTGTCCTGGAGGAAGGCATGGTAACCCACTCCAGTATTCTTGCCTAGAGAATCCCATAGACAGAGGAGCCTGGTGGGCTACAGTCCATAGGGTTACAGAGTCAGACACAATTGAGTGATTTAGCACGGCACAAGTACTAGTAATCCAGTACTACCTCTAGACAATCCTCACACCTGTTTAAAGGGCAAACCCTCCCCCTTTCCAACTCCTCCCACCTTGTAGCATCCCTCCTGGCTCTACCTGAAACAGTGCTTCCGCAGACTCAAGGCAAACCTGCCTGCCTGATACTCCACACCATTCATGAGGGATGGCTCCATTTCCGTGTCCTCGATCAGCACAGCCAGCTCACTGTCCCGCTTCCCCAGCAAGCTCCGGTCGTTGATGTTTGCTGAGCCTGGGTGGATGCAGGACACACTGTGTCTTCCTGAGCCCAGGGAACCCCACCCCACCCCATCACCTCTACCCAAGCACTGGCCTGTGGGCAACATGCCTTCTTTGGCCTCCATCCCCAACTGGACGTCAGCTGCGATCTCCATTACCCAGTCCCATCCCATTGCCCCTGGTTGGGCCCTGCTCCACCTCTCCCCACCCTCCTCTCATTCCTGGGGACCCAGCACTGACCAATGATGACTGTCCGGTCATCTGCGATAAGCATCTTGCTGTGGATATAGATGAGCTCCGAGATTGGGTGCCCACCTAGTTCTCCATGTGTGCGCAGCCCACAGATGGAAATGTAGTTCCGCCACTCTGTTCCCACTGTGAGCAAGGGACGGGAGGGACAGGGTGGGGAGTGAGGTGAGAGGTGCCCTCCATTGCAGGCGGAGTCCTGGTCCATCCACCGCCTCACTTCAGAAGCCCTATATAGCCTGGTCTATACACTTCTCTCTGCACTAATAGGCCACCACGGACTCTGGCAGTAACCACAGAAGCATGCGGGCATGATAGCCTCCGTCCCTCCATCCCTGGGGCTCCAGTCCCTCAATCTCCCCCTCCCCGGGGGTCCAGGGCTTGAACCCCCAGCTCCCAGAACTCACTGGCTGCTTTGAGACGATGTAAAATTGAATATTCCCCACGACACAGCGTCCTGAGCGAAAAGAATCGGTGAGGGAGGTGGAGACTGGATGGTGGGGTGGGGCGGGGTGGGGTGGAGGGATGTCAGAAAAGAGGTGGACCTCAACAGTCCAGCAAGAAGGGGTCAGGATGGGGCCACAGAGGGGCAGAGTCTGGCAGGGGTTGGGGTGGGCGGGGCGGTGGTCACCTGTAAGTGAAGTGCAGAATGGCCTGGATGGAGTTACCACCACCTGTGGAGATGTCACCCTCGAACCCAGGGAGCAGGGGCAAAAGTACATAGACTCGGAAGCACTGCCCCTGTCTGGGGAGGAGCGGAGTCAGAGGTGTGACCGTCTCCCAAGCCCCACCCCTCCCCTCACCCCTCTAGTCTATCTTAAACCACACCCACAACCCCCAGATTCCAGGCTGGTCTGCCTTACTTGTGGGCCTTCAGGATTCTGTCCACAATCTCATCGCCCACCTTGTTCAGCACCGTCCGCCCATCTGAGCAGCTAATGAAGAACTGATTCTGGAGCAGGGACCAATGACAGACGTCAGCAGTCCGGCCCCCATCAGCAGTTCCTGCCCTCAGCTCCCTCTTGCCAATTCCCATCCCCAGGCTCTCGGCCCTGGGTCCAGCCTTCACCAAGGTCTCCAGGTCCAGCTAGGCCAGCCCTCAACGACTGAGCCCACTGACAGGATATCCTAAGTTTCTCTGCTCCACCCTCACCCCGACAGACCTCAATGTAGAGGAAGTGCTGGCTCTCTCTGATGGTGTGCAGATAGGCATTGAGAATGGAGTTCTCCAGGGTGCCCGCTGACCAGCGGTCCACTGACCGCAAGACCTGCGGGAACGACGGATAGGATGTGGCTCCCGAGTCCAAGAGAGGACGCGTTCAGGGGCAGGGGCGGGAGCGGGAGGGTGCTCTCGGTCAGGGAGAGTGCTGAAGGGAGGTTGCGCTGAAGGCAGTGGGAGGGGGCGGGCTGGATTCCGAGCCTCACCTGCACGGTGGCGCACTGCCCTCCGGAAAGCGTGAAAGGGAGCTGGTTTGCGGTGCTCGTGGACTTGGGCAGCAGGTAGGGGTACATGGGTATCTTGTACTTGGCCTTGGTAGTCTAAGGCGGAGGGGTGGCAGAGTCAGGGAGATGGCTAGCTGCCCCGGGCTCCCGCCCACCCTCCAGCCTCAGAGGGATCAAGCACCTTGGTGAAATTCCAGCGCTGGATGAAGTGCCGGGCAAGGTCCCGGGCTGGTGGGCCGTGGACTGCCACCCCAATGTCCCGCCATGGCATCCGGGGCATAGTCGCCCTGTCAATGAAATCTGGGGGGAGGGAGAATGTCCCAGGAGAGTCAGGGAAGAGATCAGGGACGGTCCCTTGGGAACACTTGGGTGGGGGGGTGGGTGGGGAGGAGGTGCTGACCAGAGAGGAGGTGGCATTACCCTTGACCCAGTTCATCCCATCCTCAGACCCAGGCCCGCCCTCTGCCCCGGCTCCTAGCTCTCAGGGACTTTGAAGAAGGGGGACCCCCTACCATCAAAAGGCCGATCCAGCTGCACCCAGTCCTTAGTGATAAGATTGCTGTAGTCCTTGCCCAGCCAGAAGAGTTGGTTGTGAGTGAGGTCAGGGGTAGCTGGAAGGTCTGAGCATGAGGTGGAAGGCTGTAGGGGGAACACACCCAAGCCAGGGGCAAGGAGAGGTCATGGGTCACACAGAGCCAGGCCAAAGAGAAGAAAGGAGCACTGGAAGATGGAGAGACAGAGAGACACACAGAGGAAGAATGAAACAGAGAGAGTTTGATTCCCGGGCTCTCCCCTTCAGATGCATTTGAAATCCCTAGAGGAATGGGTAGTAGTCATGGGGAGGCAACTGAGTCAGTATATTCAAAGCAGGTTGTTGGGGGTCCCAGAAAGGCCTAGGAACCTTGAATGCAGGCTATGACTGGAGAGGAAGGCTGCAGCTGGGAAGGGGTGTGGATTTACATTAGTTGAGTTGGGGGGCGCTCAGGAAGGCCTTGGGGGATTACCTGGGGGGCAGCTGACTCAGAGGAGTCCCCCAGGTCAGTCAGTCTGTAGTGTATGTCATCCCAGCGGCCATAGGCGAGGTCCAGCCCCCCCAGGAAGGCCACTACTTGGTCCACCACCAGGAGCTTCTCATGATGGGCCCACAATGTCACCTGGTCTGGGTGGCGCATCACCTGGAGCAGGTATGGGGGAGTTCATGAGGGTGGGCGTAGGTTGGAGAAGCCAGAGGCAGCATTTGGAGGAGGCGGGGAACAGAAAGATGGGAGGATGAGATGTTCAAGGACAGGGAGGGTTGAGAGGATGGGGAACTGTAGTGAGGAGGGCCAGAGGAGAGGGGTCTCTGGGGCCTGAGTCACCTTTATGTTGGGATGCAGCAGCATCAGTGCCCTCTTGCTGTAGCCACTGTTGATGGCCAAGGCCAATTCCACTTCCTTGAACAGCAGTACAGACACACGGACACCCTCCTCCTGGTGGTCAGTGAGGGAATCAGATCCTAATGACCCTTTCCCACCCTCAGGATTTCTGTATGTTCCTCCTCTCCACCCAGAGATCCTCAGTGCTATGCCACTGACACCCTGCTTTGACGCTTACAGCAAACTTAGACTGAATATCATATATCTGCTCACTCACTCATCCATCCACACATCTACCCACATACCTAGCATTATCGAGCCATCCATCTTCCCAAGAATTTACTCATCCCCTTATCTACCATCTATCATTCATCTATCTAGTCACTCTCCTGGGATCTACCTTCCCAACCTCATATCCTTCTATCTATCTCCCCTTCCATCATCTATCCATCCCCTCACCCACCCACTCTCCATCATCCACGTATCTTTCCTCCCATCCATCAACATTGATGGATGCTCCCAACATAGCAGACACTGCACCTTGTACTGCAGCTAGTAGTATTCATCAGCCCAATGAGAGAAACAGATATGTCCATCCCCCGGTAACACAATAGAGTGTATAGGGTATTGGGAGGAAAGTCTACACCAAGGAGAGGAGGGGCAAGAACAGGGAGGTTGGTCCTCTTCTCTAAGGGAGTTCTCCCTAGAGAAGTGAAGAGGTGATGTTTGGGAGACTGAACCAGGATGGGTACATTTCCTCCTCTTCAAGTTTCAGACTCCTTACCTCCTCCCCCCACCCCCCGCTATGCTATAGTCTCTTCCGATCAGTCTCCACCCACAAGCCACCCCTTGACCATACCTCCCCTCCAGCCAGACCACTCTCCTCACCGCCTTCTTCTTGAGCATAATGTCCAGTCTCCAGTCATCTGAATGGGCTGGACGCTTCAGGTAAATCTCAGGACTCAACCTGGGATTCAGGGCAGCAGGTGAGGGTAAGCTAAGCTTCCAACAACAGCCTCTCCTCCCCTTCCACTCCTTTTCTGACCCAAAAGCTCATCTGTTGCAGGTACTAACCCACCCTTTCTTGCTCAGGTTCTTCCCCCACTTACCACCAGTCTGTGATGAAAATCTCTTCTTGAGCTCGCAGGATGGCATCTGCCACAGCAGCAAAGTAACCTGCCCCATTCACAAACCTGGGGGGAGGCCAAGCCAAGGAGATCAGGGAAGTCAGAAGCCAGAAAGCTCTGGAGGGTGAAGACCGAAGGACAGTCATGGGTCAGAGGTGACAGCAAGGTCAAAGACCAAGAGTGATCACAGAGGTCAGATAGTAGCAGATATTTCAAAGTGGAATAAATTTGCCAGTATGAACTAAATAAAATTAAAAGTTACAAAAGACACAATAAAGAAAATGTCTAAAGACCGGGAGGATTAATACATCACATATAAAGAGTTCCAACAAATCAGTAACAAAAAGACATATAAGCCAATTGAACAAAGAATAAGAACTGATAGCTCACAGGGAGAAAATGGCCAGTCATAGTTGAAAAGATGTTCAATTTCATCGCTAAACAAGGAAATTGATATTAAAATAAAATAACTTTTTAAATCCACTCTGGCAAAAATTAAAATCACAGGTAACACTAAGTATCAACATATGGGGGAGTGAGTATTCTCATAGACTATGAGAATATAAATTGGTTTTATAGCCTTTTTAGAGGACAACTTGGCAGTATCTAACAGAATATTAAATGTACATACTCCCTAATACCATTAAATGCACTTAGTAATTCTGTATCTAGGAAGACATCCTATTAAATGCTTAGGCAAATATTGTGTTTATTGCAGTATTGTTTATAAGACTGAAAGTGGGAAATAATGTAAATGCTTAATCTCTAACACATGTATTAAGTGGGAAAAAAATAAAACAAAGGAGAGGACGCATGATCTTATTTACATTAAAACAAAAAGTAACATATATGCACAAGTGCATGAACATATGCAGGAAAAGATCTGGGAAGATAATATCAAACTATCACCAAGATTACTTTTGGGAAGAGATATGCAGGAAAAGATCTGGGAAGATAAATATCAAACTATCACCAGGATTACTTTTGGGGAGAGAAATGGGATTTGTGGGAGGTGGAGTAGGGAAGAACTAAGGTATGGAGGGTAGGTAAAGGCTTGTGCAAGTTCTGCATTGTTAGACTTTTATTTACTTTTTAAATATTTGTTTATTTATTTGGCTGCAGGGGGTCTTAGTTGTGACATGTAGGCTCTTTGTTACAGAATGTGGGGTCTAGTTCCCTCGGCAGGGATTGAACCCAGGCCCACTGCATTGAGAAGAGTGAACCTTAGCCATTGGACCACCAGGGAAGCCCCTGTTAGACTTTTAGTAACTGTTCGGTTTGATGGTGAAGAGCAGGGTCTTGACCCAGACTGCCTGCATTTGAATCTATTGTTTACAAGGTGCGTGACCTTGGCAAGTTATTTAACTTCTCCTTAACTCAGTTTTCTCATCTGGAAAATGGAGATAACAACTGTACCTGTGTCATGGAGTAAGTTCATAACCTTAAAGCAGCTTCCCTGGGGGCTCAGCAGGAAGAATCTGCCTGCCAGTGCAAGAGACATAGGTTTAATCCCGGGTTGGGAAGATCCCCTGGAGAAGAAAATGGCAACCCACTCCAGTATTCTTCCCTAGGAAATCCCATGGACAGAGGAGCCTGATGGGCTACAGTCCGTGGCATCGCAAAAGAGTTAGACATGACTTAGCGACTAAACAACAACAACTGCTACTGCTAAGTCACTTCAGTCGAGTCCGACTCTGTGCGACCCCGTCCCTGGGATTCTCCAGGCTAGAACACTGGAGTGGGTTGCCATTTCCTTCTCCAATGCATAAAAGTGAAAAGTGAAAGTGAAGTCGCTCAGTCATGTCTGACTCTTCACGACCCCATGGACTGCAGCCTACCAGGCTCCTCCGCCCATGGGATTTTCCAGGCAAGAGTACTGGAGTGGGGTGCCATTGCCTTCTCCGAAACAACAACAACTACAAAGCATAAAACACTCAGAACGGTCCCTGGCTCATACTAACTTATACAATCAGTTCTTTTGTTAAAAAATAAACTTCAAAAGGGTACAAATGAACTTATCTACAAAACAGAAGTAGTTACAGATATAGAAAACAAACCTATGGTTTCTAGGGGGTAATGGGGGAGGTAGGGATAAATTGGAAGATCAGGACTGAAATATATATACTACTATGAAGCGACTTAGCAGTAGTATATATAAAATAGATAATTAATAAGGACCTACTATAGAGCACAGAGAACTCTACTCAGTACTCTGAAATGACCTATATGGGGAAAGAATCTAAAAAAGAGTGGACACATGTGTAACTGGTTCTCTTTGTTGTATATCCAAAACCAACACATTTAAATCAACTCCAAAAAAAATTCAAAAAACCCACAAAATTCTCAACACTAACACCAAGGGGGGGGGAGAATTGTTTCCATGACTCCTCTCTGTTTATGATAAAAGTTAACCTCCTTAGCTAGCAGGAGAGGCGCTGATCAGGCCCTTAGACATTTGTTTTTCTGGCCGCGCTGCACATGGCAGGCAAGATCTTATTTCCCTGACCAGGGATCGAACCCACACCCCTTGCACTGGAAGCACTGAGTCTTAATCACTAGTCCTCCAGGGGAAGTCCCCTTCTCCACTCTTTTCTGGCTGCTGCTCCTCAAACTGGCCAGACTATTTCTAGCTTCTCTGAAGAAACCGCCCTTCATTTTATCTTGCTAACATGAACCTCAGAGTTACCGCCTTCTGCAAGCTAGTCCAGACATCCTGCACTAGAGCAGATGCCCCTCCTCTATGCTTGGTACTCTGTATCTATTGCCAGCATGGCAAATTCCCACTGTTTCATGATTGAATCACCTACTGTGTCTTATCCCTGCCATGGACCTGGCACATAATGGGTGCTTAGAAAATGTTTATTAAATAGACCGAATGAATCAGAGAGATTTGAGATCCCTGAGAACACAGAGGGTCAGTGGGGTGAAAGCGGGTTAGAAAGGTCACAGGAGGTCAGTCAGAGAGGTCAGGGTCAGAGATCACCTAATTTGGGGTTCAGAAAGATCAGAGGGGAATCAGAGGAATCAGAATGATCAAAGGTCAGGGGGTGGGGGCGACTGGAGGTCAAAGGGGTAGGTTACTGAGGTCAGAACAGGTCAGAGGAGAGAGAAGATCAAGGACTCAGGGAACACCAAGGAGGGTGAAAGACCACTGACAATTTCAGAAAGGACATCAGTGTCTCACCACCGGGCCAGGGTCCCAGGCCGAGGAGGAGCATAGCTGTCGTGCCGGTGCAGCTGAATGAAGTCTCTGCCTGGGCCCTGGGCCAGCTCGGTGATCTCCTGGGCCCACCACCGTGCCTGCCGGTAGCTGCTGCACTTGAGAATCAAGGACCTGGGCAAGAACAAAGGATGGACCACCATCCTTGCCTTCCATACCTCTGGCTTGGCCCAGAAATCCTCCTCCTTTAGCTGTCCGCTCTTTCCCACCTCCTTCCTCAGTCCATACTTGATTTCACAGGGACAGGGCATACATCTGTCTTATTCACAGTTGGGTTCTTGGCACTTAGTATTGTGCCAGCCACTCAAGTTTGTTGTCTGTTTGTTTGTTTGTTTTTTGGGGGGGTGAGCTATGCAGCATGGCATGTGGGATCTTAGTTCCCTGACCAGGGATCACACCTGTGCCCCTTGCAGTGGAAGCCTGGAGTCTTAACCACTGGATCAGCAGGAAAGTCCCTCAAGTTTATTGAATGAATAAATGAATGGGCAGAGTGCCCTTTCTTTGCACCAAAAGCCCTTCCAAGACTGGCCTTGGGACCTGGGACCCTTTGCTGCAATGCTTGCACCTGGACCCACCGCTCCTGGAGCAACAAAACACAAAGAAACTATATGGGACTAAAAACTGTGTGCAAAACAAAACAAAAAAACAAAAAATAAAAACTGTGTGCATGTAGTTAGGGCAAATTTTGGACAAAAGATACAAAGAGACCAAAAACCCAACTGCCCCTTCTGCAAAGCCCAGAGCAAAGGCAGGGTATAGTGTATGCCCCTTGAATGCAACACCACCTAAGGAAGGGGCAAAACACCTAACCCACCCCTCCAGCCTGACCTCTGGACACATCCCTACCCTCATCCCACATAAGGAAGCAGCTCGTTCAGCCCTCTCCCCGAGGGAGGGAGCAAGCAAGGGAAACTATTGTTTGTTCCCACACCCCCTCAACCCCAGAGAAAGCTCTGGGTCAGCCTCTAGGAGCAGCCCCAAGCATCTGGCTAGAGTGTTCCCTGGTTCCAAATCATGGCCATCTCCGGAGGGGTGGGGTGGGAACACCTTCCTCTCTTCCTGGTCTCTTCCACTCATCTCCCCTTAGGGCCCCAGGCTGCTCTTCACTCACCAGATGCCTGTCCACACCAGGGAGGCCTTACCTGTGAGAGGTGTCGACCCGGACCCCATACCGTGCCTCTGTACTCCTTTTCCCCACCTGCACCTCGAAGCCAGGGTCGAAGAGCTGAACAAAGGAGATGGCGCCGGTCTCGAGGCACATGTATAGCAGGAAGGAGTCCTTCACCACCAGCCACCTGAGTGGAAGGGCTCCAGCCGTGCCTTCATGCCCCCCCACCCTGGGATCTCCTTCCTCACCCCCACCCACTGTCCAGCCACTCTGCTCAGCCCTCACCGCTTGGACCAGCGATAACAAACTTGGTCTCGGCCGCAGCAGGTGAGGCCAGGAAGGCGGTGGCCACCTGAGCGCTTCCGGATCACCCCCTCCCTGTGGGGAAAACCAGGAAGAGGTGCTGGAGAGGGATCCAGGGTTCAAACCTGTGGGGATAAAGTCAGACCCCCAGCCCACCCTGCCCTGCTTTCCCTATTCTAGGGGAGGGAGAGATTCAGACGTTGGCAGATGGTGGGTGAAGAGTGTCAGACACTCACAGTCCTTTGCATCCGAGGTCTGGGATGAAGGACAGCTGACTGACTTCCAGGAACTCCGTCTGCAGAGGAAGAAAAAGGCTCAGAGGAGAGACTCATTGTCAGTCCCTCAAATCCTACCAACCCTGGTCCTCTGCCCCCAATCCATCTCAAGAGACCTGGTGTCAGCCCCTGACCTTACCATGGCATGGTAGTTGCGGTAGAAAGACATAGTCAAGAGGCGGTTGAGATAATTCTCCAGGTATTTCTGAAGTGAAGGGATGGGAGACAGAGAGACGGATGGGACCAGAGCCATTTGTACCCAAACACCTTCCCAGAGGACCTGGTGTCTGGTCCCACCTGCTTGCTAGAGGTACGTCTGGAGGAGCCCTCAGGACCTGCTCGGGGTAGAGAGGGTATCTCTCTGCTGTCTCCCTCTGAGGCTGGAGATGAAGCAACAGCAAAACTGTGGAAGGGATGAGTGAGGGTCAATAGGAGCTGGAGGCTGGGTGCCTGGGATCCTGAAGCACTGGAGGCAGGGACTTGGAAGAGGTGAGAAGACCTAGAAGGTGGCAGCAGGAATGCCCCCTACCCTGAGGATGGAGACAGAAAAAGGTGGGAGGCTGCCAAGGGTATTTTGGGCATCCAGCCCAGCTGAGATACTGGCCCAGAACCACAGACAGGCAGAGCTGAACAGGGAAGGTTTCCTGGTAACTGGGGTCAGAGGAGGGGGCCCAGTGGCCAGAGTTGGGGGAGCAAAGTAGCTGGGGTAGGGTCAGCTGTGGCCTGGGGATGAGAAAGGCAGAAAGCAGCGATGGGGGCTGGGGCAGTGACACCCCTGATTGACTCGAGGTGAGGGGCAGCTGCCCTACGCAGGAGGCAGCCTTGTCCCTCTCACCGAGCCAGAGGGAGCAGACTCATCAAGACTTTGTGTCTCAGGAGGTCCCGATGCAATTCCTGGAAATGACGGAACTTCTTCTTGGTTGTCCAGGTGAAGTCACCGTGAGTCAAACGGACAGAATACAGAGTGCAGGTGCCCACCTGGGGGAGTGAGGAACTGAATGGATGTTCCCTGGTTGGAAGGCAGCCCCTCACTCTGGCCAGCCCTCCCCCACCCCCATTCCTTGGGGCCAGCCCAGCCACCTTGGATCCACTGGTGTATCTTTCAGTGCCCACCACCTGAGCTATGACGGGGACCCCAGCGGCAAACACCAAGGGGTGCGTTTTCAGAGGCTGGAGGTGGTAGATGGCCAGAAAGGGGTGCATCCGGTCGGCTGGTGGGAAAGAAAGTGGAAGAACGTGGACTCCAGGAGGTCTCAGCCCTCCTCTTCCTCTCCCCGAGGCCATCCTCCCTGTGTACCTGGGTCCTCTCCCTCCTTCAGGGTGTCCACCTCATCGGGCTCCATCTGTAACTGGCTGGAGTCCAGGTCATCCCCAGAGGGGAAAAGGCTCTGGGGGGTTGCCGCCATCCTGGGAATATGGGGAGGCCTCAGAACGGTGATCTGCTCCAGAACTCTATGCCCCATCCCACCCCCACGGCCCTCGGTCTCCCCAGGTCCTCCGCTTTCCCCCATCCGGCTCCCGCTGACTCTTAATCTCTCTTTGATTAGAATCCATCGGTCCGCACAGCCCTGCCAACTCGCCTCTAATCTCCATCCCCTATCTCCGATCCTTCATCCAGAAAGCCCGAGCCCCGCCTCCTGTCCCTTAATCAGGATGCCAAGGAACAACCGGCCTGGCCCGGATGGCCCCGAAGCGGGGCAGAGGAAGGGGCCCCGGGGAGGGGGGGGGGGTTGCAAGGGGTCCCGAGCCGCCGGGTCTCCAGCCAGGCCAAGGCAGCTGGAAGAAGGGGTCCAGTCAGGAATGAGGAAGTTAAGCGCTCCCCGCCCGGGAAAGAAACCCCGAAATCTGAGCATGCGGCTGAGTCAGGAGGCCCCGCAGCCCGAGCGCATTCCTGTCCCCGCCAGATCTCCTGGGCCCGGGACCTCCGCGGCGCCCCCTCCCCGGCCCCCTCACCCGGACAGCCCGAGCGGGCGGCGGCGCGGCTTCGCGAGCTGGAGCTGGAGCTGGAGTCCACACCCCAGAGGGCCAGGGCGGGGCGGGCGCTCAGGGCCTGCCCTCGGGGGCGGGACGGGCCCCCGGCCTCACCTCCGCGGGATTCTCGTCTGTCCTGTCCCGCCCCCGCCGCCCTCGGCCCGCCCCGGCGTCCTGCGCGCAGTCGGGACGCGGGGCCGCCCTCAGCTCTGCTGCACCGCGCCGCCCGCTTCTCGAAACCGTGCGGCGCCATCAGCCTGGCTGTCCGTCTGTCCCGCGTCGTCGGTCCGCGCGAGCCCGGACTATGCCCAGTGGGCGCTCAGCGACCTTCCTCCACTCAGGCGCCAGCCCCCCGGGTCCTCTCCGGCCGCTGATCCCGCCTGGGTCACAGGCGGGACGCGCCTCCGCGGCGGGGACCTGGCAGTGCTCATTTCCCGGGCGGGCTGCGAACCACATCGGCCCGGCTTAGCCAGCGTTTGTAGAAGGAATGATGAAAGGCCGGAGGGGTGGGGACAACAAATTCATTAACGTGCTCAAACTTGCATTCTTTCATTCATTCACTGTTTATTGCGTCCATGCCCCTCGCCAGACTCCGAGCCTACAGTTAATGAACAAGACTAAGACGAACTGCTCTTCTAGAACTAGCAGTCTAGGGGCAAACAGGAAAAGTTTCAGATTCTAAAAGACAAAATATTTCATTTTTTTCAGAGCAGATTCCTTTATCTCTTCTAAATGGAAGAATGGGTTGATGGACATTTCTTGATGGCCATTTGGGTTTTTTCTAGCTTTTGTCTATTGTGAATAAAGCTCCTATAAGAAGCACCATTACGAACAAAGCTAGTGGAGGTGATGGAATTCCAGTTGAGCTATTTCAAATCCTAAAAGATGGTGCTGTGAAAGTGCTGCACTCAATACGCCAGCAAATTTGGAAAGCTCAGCAGTGGCCACGGGACTGGAAAAGATCAGTTTTCGTTCCAATCCCAAAGAAAGGCAATGCCAAAGTGCTCAAACTACCGCACAATTGCACTTATCTCACAGGCTAGTAAAGTGATGCTTAAAATTCTCCAAGCCAGGCGTCAGCAATATGTGAACATGAACTTCCAGATGTTCAAGCTGGTTTTAGAAAAGGCAGAGGAACCAGAGATCAAATTGCCAACATCTGCTGGATCATCGAAAAAGCAAGAGAGTTCCAGAAAAACATCTATTTCTGCTTTGTTGACTATGCCAAAGCCTTTGACTGTGGATCACAATAAACTGTGGAAAATTCTGAAAGAGATGGGAATACCAGACCACCTGACCTGCCTCTTGAGAAGCCTGTATGCAGGTCAGGAAGCAACTGTTAAAACTGGACATGGAACAACAGACTGGTTCCAAATAGGAAAAGGAGTACATTAAGGCTGTATATTGTCACCCTGCTTATTTAACTTATATGCAGAGTACATCATGAGAAACGCTGGGCTGGAAGAAGGACAAGCTGGAATCAAGATTCCCGGGAGAAATATCAATAATCTCAGATATGCAGATGACACCACCCTTATGGCAGAAAGTGAAGAAGAGCTAAAGAGTCTTTTGATGAAAGTGAAAAAGGAGAGTGAAAAAATTGGCTTAAAGCTCAATAGTCAGAAAACTAAGATCATGGCATCCAGTCCCATCACTTCATGGTAAATAGATGGGGAAGCAGTGGAAACAGTGGCTGATTTTATTTTTCTGGGCTCCAAAATCACTGCAGATGGTGATTGCAGCCATGAAATTAAAAGACGCTTACTGCTTGGAAGAAAAGTTATGACCAACCTAGACAGCATATTAAAAAGCAGAGACATTACTTTATCAACAAAGGTCCGTCTAGTCAAGGCTATGATTTTTCCAGTGGTCATGTATGGATGTGAGAATTGGACTATAAAGAAAGCTGAGCACAAAGAATTGATGTTTTTGAACTGTGGTGTTGGAGAAGACTCTTGAGAGTCCCTTGGACTGCAAAGAGATCCAACCAGTCCATCCTAAAGGAGATCAGTCCTGGGTGTTCATTGGAAGGACTGATGTTGAAGCTGAAACTCTAGTACTTTGGCCATCTGATGTGAAGAACTGACTCATTTGAAAAGACCATGATGCTGGGAAAAGATTGAGGGCAGGAGGAGAAGGGGACGACAGAGGATGAGATGGTTGGGTGGTATCACTGACTCAATGGACATGAGTTTGAGTAGTCTCCAGGAGTTGGTGATGGACAGGAAGGCCTGGCATGCTGTGGTTCATGGGGTCGAAGAGAGTCGGACACAACTGAGCAAGTGAACTGAACTGAAACGTTCCTGGGTAAGTCTTTCTGTAGAAATACCTTTTCGTTTCGCTTCTGTAAATAGCTAGAAACTTGCCAAATTTATTTGATCTCTAATTGCACACATTTATATGGAGACATGGTAAAGAAAGTGACAAAGGCTATTTTAAAATGATCATTAAAAAGCACTTTTTAAATAAGTGAAATATTTTAAAATGGGGGGGGAGTATTTTAAAATGAGAGGGATCTGCCAAACTGTTTTCCGAAATGGTGGTTCTGTTTTACATTTCCAAAATCTGTGTATGATAATTCCAGTTGATCTGTAGCATGGCCAAGATTTGATATTGTCAATCTTTTTAGCATTAGTCATGCTAGTAAATGTAAAATAATACATCATCTTAGTTTTATTTGCATTTCTCTAATGACTAATGATGCTGACCATACTTCAAGTGCTTATTGACCATTTTTATGTATCTTTTATTAAGTGTTTGATTCTTTCATTGACTGTTTAGAAAACCATGTTATTTGACTTATTAAATTGTAAGAGTTCTTTATATATTAAATTGGTCAAAAAGTTTGTTCGGAATTTTCTAGTTCTTTGGGGTTTTTCATAAGGATGTTTTGGAAAAATGAAAACGAACTTTTTGACCAACCCAATATTTTGGATACAAATCCTTCATCAGATAAATGTACTACAAATATTTTCACCCAGAAGATAGCTTCTCTTTTTAAAATAATGGTGCCTTTTGGGAATTCCCTGGCTGTCCAGTGGTTAGGACTTGGCTCTGACTGCAGGGCCTAGCCTCGAAGCGCAGCCGAAACAAATAAATAAATGATGCCTTTTGAAAAGCAGAGGCTTTTTATTTTGATTAATTTGTGGCCTATAGACTATTACTCAGCAATAAAAATGAATAAAGTGTAAAATGGTGCAACCACCTTGGAAAACAATTTCAAAATGTTAAGCGTAGAGTTACTGTGTTTGTGTTGTGCTTGTGCTAAGTCACTTCAGTCATGTCCGACTCTTTGCGACCCCATGGACTGTAGCCCGCCAGTCTCCTTTGTCTACGGGATTCTCCAAGCAAGAATGCTGGAGTGGGTTGCCATTTCCTTCTCCTGGGGATCTTCCCAACTGAGGGACTGAACCCATGTCTCTTAGGTTTCCTGCCTTGGTTCTTTACCACTAGTGTACGGGCAAGCAATTCCACTCCTAGCTATATTCCAAAAAGAATTGAAACATTTCTTCACAGAAGCTTGCTCAGGAATGTCCATAGAAATGTTATTCAAGTCACCAAAAAGTAGACACAAACCAAATGTCCATTAAGTTATCGATGGATAAACAAAATATGGTATATCCCTACCATGAAATATTCTTCAGCCCTGAAAGTAGTGATGTACTGATAGCCTGCTACAACATGGATGAATCTTGACATGTTATGCTAAGTGAAAGGAGCCAGACACAAGGGACCACATATTCTATGAGTCCATTTTTATGAAATGTCCAGAATAAGTAAATTCAAAGAGACCATAACTGGACCAGTAGCTGGGGAGAGGGACAGGGGTGTGACTGCTAATGGGCACAGAGTTTCTTTTGAGGGTGATGACAACGTTACATTAGCTCTGATGGTTGCTCACCTCTGTGAATAAAAAAACAAACAAAACCATTCAGTTGTAGACTAAAGGGTGAATTTTATGGCATATGAATTATTCTCAATAAAGTTATTACAAGAAACACAAACTGTTAATACATACAACTGTTAATACACACAACTGTTAATACATACAACATGGGTGACTTTCAAAAACATTGTGCTGAAAGAAGCCAGACACAATAGAGTAGTACTATGTGATTCCACTAATATTGAGTTCTGGAACAGCAAAGCCGATCTATAGTGACGGAAATCAGATCTGCAGTTGCCTGTGGCAGGGAGTGGGGAAAAGAGGGACAGTAAGGGGCACAGAGGGAACTGGGGGAGGGAAATGTCCCCTATATTGATTGAGGTGGGGATTACACGGGTGTACACACTTGTCATTGGAAAAGACCCTGATGCTGGGAAAGATTGAGGGCAGGAGGAGAAGGGGGCGACAGAGGATGAGTCAGTTGGATTGCATCACTGACTCAATGGACATGAGTTTGAGCAAACTCCGGGAGATAGTGGAGGACAGGGA